AGTTGGCCAGTTGTTGTAAAAATAAAATGAGCGCAGAAATGAGTTTTTAATGTTCGGAACGGCTCGTGCTGCGCTAACTTCGTAAGCACTCGCGCGAGCTTTTTGCTAGCCTATCTACGTAGAGAAGGGTCGCCGCGTCGCGTCCGCGCTCGCGCCCGCTAGACGATGTATTCATGGCGCTCCCTGAAATCTGGCTATGACTTCGAGTACGAGTAATTCACCGAATAGTTTCCCTCGCTCCGCTACCTTTATGGATCATGCGTCTGCGGGTCCTGGACCGAGGCGGGAGGCGCGAAGAAGAGGGTTGCGAACTTCGAATACCGTTCTTACCGAACCAAAGTTCTCGGGAACAGAGAAACGTTAATGAATCCACGCTCAAAGGACTCCGACAAAGTCTTCCCGTCGATGATTCTCCTTTAGAATGTATATAGTTATGTTATGCGTTACGCTGTAGACCGTAGGCTAGAAATGGAACGCGTTTCTCGAACGGTCTTGCGGAAACGCGAAAAGAAGTCGTCGAACCGCAGCCTCCGATCGAATAGAAAATTTATAAAACATAATATCGAAACGCGTCGTAAGTCGATGAAAAAAGGCGAGCGATCGCGAATGCCGTTGGGCAAACAGTTTTGTTTCCCCGATGTACAGCGACAACAGGATATTAGCAGCGAGAGCGAGCAAAGCTCCTGGAGCCGAGCTATATTTTCTAGGACGCCCCAATATGTCATCGATCGATACCCTACGCTTCAGGCGGATACGGCCTGAAATTCGAGATTTTGCCGATCACGATACCGGTTAATCCACGGAAAGCGATATCGTTAATTTCGAACGACGAGGGAATTCCCGTCGATCGCAAAACGAGCCCCGAATCGAATTTTCCAAAGGAAATTTCTTCTTCGGGAATGAAGCGCGCCGTCGGCGTGCATCTCGTCGTTCGTTGCGTATAAAGTAGGAGCACGCGGCTCGATATTCGCGAGACATTTAACTTCGATCTTAATATCCCGCAAGATTCGTTGCATTCGACGAAGCAACGCGAAGAGTCGCGTCGCGCGCGAAACAAACGCTGTCAGCGAACGTGCTAAAAACTCGGGGCGGAATCGACGCTCGCGAGGCGTTTACAGTTTTTGAATAAAACATAAGTGTCCCGGCAGATATACAAACTGCGGTAAAATGCACGATGCGATCGCGAGGGGCGCGGCGCCGTGCGAATCTATATTTCGAAATAAAGTGGAGCGGCGCTCTTTCCTCGCGAATCAGGAAATTTCCTCGAAACCGGCGCGGCGTCCCGTTTTCGCGATAATCACCGAGCGATTCCGTTAAAAATAGGTCGAGCGAAAGGCGGAACGGAGGAATTAAAGATACGCGACGCGCGCCGTTCCGAGCGCATTTTAACGCATGTAACGCATCCTCGGTCTCGGCTGCCGCCTCGGGGCGACTCGTCGCGAGTTCGCCAAATTTCCTATGCATTTATGCACCGCCTCGATAATTCTTGGTTACTCCTGAAGGTATTTGCGGGCTAAAGTAATCAACGGTAAATTAACTCGAACGCGCGTCGTCGTCGCGCCAGCGGCTGCATAAAGCGAACGGATTGTGCTAACGGCCCCGATATCGTATGCATCGCGTAAGCACGTTGCGTAGCAGGGCAACGAGAAACAGAGGGGAGAACGGCGGAGGAAGAATCCTCCAAAAAACGGGGACCGAACGTCTCCGAGAAAAATCAATTTCGAAAATTCGTTCGGCAGCCGCGCGCTGCATCGACAATGCGCCCTGATTCCACGGATTTTGGCATACGTTCGTTGCCCCTCGTGTTTGTAGTTCTAATTTACGCCCGGCCCGACCCGTTCGTGGACGGGGAAATATGCATCGGAAAAATGAGGATTTCCGAGCGAACAACACCATCGAACGTTTCGAAGTCGAAGGGACCGTGCGATTCTTATTTCAGCCGTTTATTTTGAAAGTGGCATAAGTCACTTTTTCAAAAAAATCGAGTTAATGGTAACACTAATTACAATTGAACGGTATCTTTTCATTTTTAAAAAATTTGCAATCAACAAATTGAGAACTATTGAGATTTGTTCGAGAGAAGTTTTACTAATTAACGGTATGACAAACATGTTTATTTTGAAAGTCGTAAGTCGTAAGTCGCCGTACTCGGGAAATTAATTGCAGGGCTTAGTGTAAAAGAAATAGAAACGTGTGATAAGTGTGTGTGAAGTATTGTTTTGAATTATTTTCAGTATTTTTAAAAAAGTTGTGATCACTGGACTTATTTTTATAAGTGCGAAGGAATAGTGCAGTTTTGTAAATTATATTATAGTGATGTGGCGACTACCTCCAGACCCGCCAGCAGATGGCTATAAAATGTTTTATAAACTAACTTTAGATGAAAAAGATGAATTTCTAACTTCGGATTTGTTACCAAAAAGAGGAAGACCTAGGCGTTATTCACAAATAGAAATGGA